CGATGTTGTTGAAGAAGAAGAATTACTAGCGGTGGTGCTGTAGGCACTGGCAGTGGAACTGTTGCTGACCGAAGAGCTGTGTTCCAAGGACGAGTCGTTGTCGCTCTTTAGGGTGTCTCATCGATTCTGATCTGTCAGTGGTCCACATTATAGTTGGTTTCAGGTCCCTGCATTGAGACTTGGTCCCTGCTTTGGGAATATTAGCCAGATGTGGTCCCTGTTTTGGGAAAGCCCTTACTGCCAATGTGCTGGCAAATCGGCTTTGAGGTTGTGTGTTATTCAGATCTGTTCATGTGATTCTAACGTTTCCTCCTTCGAAATTTGCTTGGTCCATGTCTAATTCATACATTACATGTACCGGTATCTGGCGGAGGTATCAGATTCTGCTGAACGCACTTTGTACATGTAGTGAAGCCTAGATTATTACTGCTACGAAATCGTAAACTTAAATTGATTTGCCGAATGTGCCGGGTTAAAAACTGTACTAGTATTATCGTAGGATTAAAATAGAGACGCAGTTATATTACTACAAGTTTCACGGAGTATTAACACGACACAAGATTCGAAGTTGTATTAGGCTCAGCCTACAGCGATTTAAAGACTCTGGTAACACCATGCGCTTTGGAGTATTATACGGTAGTGAATGTGGCTCACATAGTAGCCCAACAAGAGGTATTTATGTACCAAATACCTTAAAGATATTTTCGCCTTCGAAGCTTGTTTGGCTCATGTTTAATCTCACGAATCACCGGCATCTGGCGGAGTTATCTGCAGAACGCGTTAAGCAGTATATTCTAGCCGTATTTGCAAAACCGCTAGCGCGCGAATGGGAGTGCTGACTGTGCGGATATCATCCCATCTGACTACATGCATTACTGTAATTCCAGTATGTACAGTACCTACAACATGCGTTTACGCCTTTTAGTACCGCAAAGCACGATGTAATCAATGTGACTGACCCTTGGTTAACGTCAAAATGGGAGATAACCAAAGTAGGAAAAAAGAGCTACAGAGTTGCGAGTATAATATTACTGATAGCGTCGAATGGCAGCAGCCACCCGGTCCATGATCTTTCCGTCGGTACTGTGGAGCTTATGTATAAAGCTCCGAGTCGGAGCCTCCGACGCGATGCTCAGAGTGATGCCAAACGGTGGCCAGTTTTCTGACAACGCCACAGCCGTTTTCCCATCGCATGTTGGATTTGTAGCAAATCTAACATGCCGATTCGGCTGATCCAAATTCCCCTACATAATAAATGTATTTTTTTTAATATATACTTGAGTACATGTAGGCTTCAGCATTGCCTTCAAAGCCCAAGATTCCGGAACATTGCCCCTAATCTTTTCGACTGGCTCTCCTTTGCTTTCTCGTGGCTTTAAGTTGACGTCATTCGCCATTTTCCAACGTCCGGTGCGGAGATTCCCTACCACTAGGCATCATGCGACTACTTTACCCCGTATTAGTCGTTATGGCCACACTGGTCGCCATTTCTGAAGGCAATGCCGCAGAAGTGAACGCTGTCGCCACGAAAGTGAATGCGAGAGACTCAATCGAGAACACCCGCAAGTTGTCAGATCCCACAGAAGCAGCCTTGGAGGAGAGAAAAGGTGGAGGGGGAGGCCGCGGGGGAGGTAGAAGAGGAGGAACCAGCACAAGAACCAGCACCGGAAGACGCAAATTCGACAGGAGTGGAATCAACCCGACGAACCCGACTCTTGGATTCATGTACCCGAGCGACACGCCATATCTCAAAGACGATTTTCGAAAGCTGTACGTGAAATGGCTGAAGAAAAAACAAGCCGAGAAGAAGAAACAAGCTGAGAAAAAGAAAGCCGAGGAAAAGGAAGCCGAGACAACCCGCCGACTTCGAGCCTAAAGTACGTTGGCAGGTTCAGGATGTCATGAGGGTTGGAAACAACGACGCTAGTAGTGTCATGGAACAGCATGATTTCCGGTGGAATTAGGCTGCCCCGACTGACTATTTTAAGATCATTACCTAACTTGGAGCTGTAGATCGTCGCTATTATAGTCATACGAACCGAATAAACAGAAAGTTTTGAGGTTATATGATAATGAAAGTGATTTCAAACGGAAAAACCAAGATAGAAAAGCCGTTAATACAAATACCGCAAGGGATTGGAGTCGTGTACCACGGAGGACATGGTCGTTGACTAAGGTAGCGAGTTCTCGTAGTTGCGACTTGAAAGAAATTGTCACTTTCACCTTAGAAGAGCTATTTCAGCCTACGCGAAGTCCTACATGTATCTTAGTTCACAGAAAGTTCTTTTTTATCGGTACCGAGTACACTGAAAAAAGTGCAATGTTTGCTAACAGTTTACAGAAGATTAGCGTTTTACACCTGTCGCTTTGAAGCCCTGATTTACGGGACTGGTACATGAAATTCTCCTCGTTGACTCAAGACATAATACTGGTATACTGTACAAAATGTTGCGAAAATTTGGATCAGTCGTGCACTTGCTGACGATCATGATCAGAAACCTCAGTGACACACTGAGTCGGTGTGTCATCTTCGTCGTTGAGGTTTACATCGCTCTTTACGTATCAAATGTTCTTCAGACCGCTACATCTTGGGCATCCACAGCTACGATTATGGCAGTCGACCTGCTCCAGTTTACTATATTTGGTATAATATTATTCTGTTACCGCAAAAAATACTGGTAGTAAGTCTACTAGTACATTGTGCATTGTCCAAGTCGGGTGGCACTTCGAATCTTCTTGTTATC